TGAGAGGCAATGCTTAGCTAAGTGGTTCTCTGCTCAGGCTTCCTGTTAGGGTTCCACAGCCAGGTTGATGAAGTCTCATCAACTGTGATTCTGCCTTCCTAAAGATTGTAATAGTCTCTGTTGTGTAATCTATGTGGTTTTAATTGTCTCCATGTGATGCTTAGGTTAGGCTAGTGTCAAGCATGAGGGCTTCCAGATACATTTACTTATTTATTCATTCATTCATTTCTTTCTTTATTTTTTTGAGACAAAGTTTTACTATGTTGCCCTTGGTAGAGTGCTGTTCATCACAGCTCACAGCAACCTCAAATTCTGGGCTTAAGCAATTCTTTTGCCTCAGCCTCCCAAGTAGCTGGGACTTCAGGCACCCACCACAATACCCGGCTATTTTTTGGTTGCAGTTGTCATTGTTGTGTAGCAGCCTCAGGCCAGGTTCAAACCCGCCACCCTTGGTCTGTGTGGCCGGCACCATAACATTGCACTATGGGCTCCATGCCACCCAGATGTATTTATGAAAGTTGTTTAGTCTTTTTTCCAGAAGGAGGTCACAGGGCCTGCTCATCTTGGGTTTAATATGGATAAGATAGCATGACCCATATTTTCATTGCCATAGTAGAAATTATTGGCAGGGTGGTGTACCCAATGTCAAGAAATAAGAAACTCACACCTCGCACTATATTTAGAACCTCCTTGTTCCTGACTGTCTCGATTGATAAAAAACAGGAAAGGGTCAATATTTTTCTATGCTTTATCATCTTTCTGCCTTTGGATATCCTGATAGCAGGTGAGAGTGTCAAAATGAGGTTTTTTTGTTGTTGTTGTTGTTGTTGTTGTTTTTTGTTTTGGCTGGGGCTGGGTTTGAACCCGCCACCTCCAACATATGGGGCTGGTGCCCTACTCCTTTGAGCCACAGGCACTACCCCAAACTGATGTTTTTAAAGGTATACTGTTACAGATGCAGGTGTAATGTATCCAGATATTGGAATGTATCTCAGATTTCATTTCTGAGAAGGAAATGAAAAGAGGAAAGGAGAAAGAAATGATTGCTTCTCAGGTAAATGTGTCCCAGGTCCAGGGCTATGCCCACTTCTTCTCCTACAGTGTCATGTATTTAGAACTTGCAAACCTTTGCTTCTCTAATTGTGATGTTCTTGCTTAGTGAGTTTCAAATACTCTTTTGCCCTATTCTTACAATACTCAAGAGGCTCTGAAAACTTCTCCTCCCTTACCTGTATAGCATAGTTTTATTTCCATCTTCTCCATCCAGGCCTCTTATGTCCCCTGAAAAATTTTAACTGTAAATTTATGTTCTACAAAAAAAAAATATATATATATATATACACACACACACACACACACACACATATATATATAATGTATTATAATACTGAAAATGTTTTCCTTGTGCCTCTATAAAATGGGAATATGTGAATACCTAAGATTGCAATAATGGATAAGTCTGCATTAGATTTTAGCAAAGAAGGGAAATACGTGCTATTTAGGTTCCATCTGGAAGCTCCATCAGTTCTGTGTAGAATAAGATGAAGTACATGAGGTCAGGAGTAGAGGCTTACACCTATAATCCTAGCACTCTGGGAGGCCACGGTAGGTGGATTGCCTGAGATCAGGAATTTGAGTCCAATCTGAGCAACAGCAAGACCCTTCTATAATTGTCAGGTGTTGTGGCAGGTGCCTATAGTCTCAGCTATTGGGGAGGCTGAGGCAAGAGAATCTCTTGATCCCAAGAATGTGAGGTTATTATGAGGTGTGACAGCACAGCACTCTACATAGGGTGACAAAGTGAGACTGTCTCAAGAAAAAGGAAGCAAAGATGAAGTGCTTGCACTTTTATAGAAGATGACATTAACTACCTAAAGTAGTTGTTCAGTGGTTAGGGTGTGGGCCAAATGCATCATGGCTGGTGGGTTGGAACCTGGCCTGAGACTATTAAACAAAGAACAAAAAAATTAGTTGGGCATTGTAGGGGGCACCTGTTGTCCAGCTACAAGGGAGGCTGAGTCAAGAGAATGTCTTGAGTCCAAGAGTTTGAGGTTGTTGTGAGCTGTGATGCCATGGCACTCTACCAAGGGCAACATAGTGAGATTATATCTCAAAAAAAAAAAAAAAAGAAAGAAAGAAATATGCACAGCTTGTAGTGTATGATGTAAGTAAGGCACAGAAATACACATGCCTATATTGGTGGCTTCATTTTTGCACTGTAATCTATAAAAGCACAGTATCTACACTGGGACTGTGGATGTTATCTCATCCTCTTTCCTCAGGGTTAGAGAGCACATGAAGGAATATCTCTCAGCTGTACTTTTCACATAATACTGTTCAGTCATGTAAGTCAAAAGAAGTTCTCACCCACTCATTTATGTAAAAATGAAATTAAGTCTTCCCTTGGCATCATGATAAATATTGTTCTTTTTAGTTTTTTAATTTTTTTTTTTCTTTAGGCACTGTTGACATTCAGAGATGTGTCTATAGACTTCTCTATGGATGAGTGGGCCTGCCTGGACCCTGCTCAGCAGAATTTGTATCGGGATGTCATGTTAGAGACCTACAGAAACCTGGTCTTCCTAGGTGAGGATAACTGAAATACACAGTTCCTACAGTACACTAAGCATTTCATATTGTTTCTTTGTAGTTGAGTTTTGTGTAGATTCTTCTTTGACTGCATTAGTTTCAGATTGTTGTTTCTAAGGAAAACGTAAGTTCTTGGTATAGAAAAGAAAATATTTCAGATGTTATCTTGGCATTAATCTTAGCCTTTCTTGAGCTGATAAATATCCTCCCTTACAATGATGGTAATTCAAAAATGTAGAGGCTTAGAATTGTTGCCCATACCTTAAGTCTAGTTTCTAGCCCCAAATTTTATTTCCATAGTACTGGGTAGTGGAGCATTTTAAATGCTTTTAAAATATTCTAAAGTTTCTGTCAGAAACCTCTAATTTTAGATTATTCTTTTAGGATCTCTCAAATGTTGTGTTCTCTACTCTATGAAGGTACTAGATTGTCAACTGGTGAAGCCCAACAAGCATCATGTTATCTTTTTTCTTCTAATGAAACAGGGCTTGATGTCTCTAAGCCGGACCTCATCACCTGTCTGGAGCAAAGGAAAGAACCCTGGAAGGTGAAGACTCACCAGACAGTGGTCAAGCACCCAGGTAGGTTGGAGTGAATGAAGCAGATAACACTGGTCAGGTCCCAAGTTGAAGGAGGAAACCAAACAATGCAAGGTGATTAGGGAAGCTCAGCTTAATTGGAAATGAGTTCTGGGAAGCCTGGGTTTCTTTCTCTTGTTGTTACATAAAGGCACCTCTGTTCTTGTTTTTATTTCTTGTGTTTATTTTCTCATTGAGACAAAGTCTCACTGCGTTGCCATCAGACTAGCGTGCCATGGCATCAGCGTAGCACAGAGCAATCTTAACCGTCTTGTTTCAGGTGATTTTTCGGTCTCATCCTCTCAAGTAGGTGGGAGACATTAGTTTCTCCACAAGGCCTGGCTTATGTTTTTACTGTGTTTTAGTAGAATCAGAGTCTTGTTCTTGCTCAGGCTTGTCTCAAACTCACAAACTCAAAGAAGGCTCTCACCTTGGACTCTCAAGTGCTTGGTTTACATGTGTGCCCCATCATGCCTGGCCCTATTCTTCTTTTTAATTTTTTTACATTTGTTTGAAACAGAGTCCCACTTTGTCACCCTGGGTAGAATTCTGTGGTGTCATAGCTCACAGCAACCTCAAAATTTCGGGCTCAAGGAATCCTTTCTTCAGCGTTCCAAGTAGCTGGGACTACATGTGCCTGCCACAATGACCAGCTAGT